CCCAGCTACTCAGGAGGCTGAGGCAGAATTGCCTGAACCCAGGAGGCGGAGATTGTGGTGAGCCGAGATCGCGCCATTGCACTCCAGCCTGGGTAACAAGAGCAAAACTCCTTATCATAAAAAAAAAAAAAGAAGCAACACCATGCCAGTCAAAGCCTTGGTAAAATAACCGGTTTCTCCAATTGTGCCCTGTTACTTATAAAAACCAGATTATTGGCCAGGCCCAGTGGCTCATGCCTGTAATCCCAAGACTTTGGGAGGCTGAGATGGGCGGATCATGAGTTCAATAGATTGAGACCATCCTGGCCAACATGGTGAAACCCTATCTCTATTCAAAATACATAAAATTAGCTGGGCGTGGTGGTACCCACCTGTAGTCCCAGGTACTCAGGATGCCAAGGCAGGAGATTGCTTGAACCCGGAAGGCAGAGGTTTCAGTGAGGTGATATCATGCCACTGCACTCCAGCCTGTTGACAAATCGAGACTTTGTCTCGGAAAAAAAAAAAAAAAAAATTTTTTTGAGTCTTCTATTAGTTCAGTGGATGCAGTTAATCCTTGTTCTGCTTGATATTCATGAACTTTTCAACTCTCCACAAGTCTTGAAATTTTTTTTTCTCTACTCTGATGTCACAATCTCCAAAGTTATCAGAAACTTGCATTCAAGAGCACCTGTTAGAGTTTTATAGCTGATTATAAAACCACCTTCTAAAGAGAACCAAAACAATGCAATTGTTTATGAATGACAAAAAGTTTTAGGACAGCCATAGTCAAAGACAGAATTAAGGAAATTTGTTACCTCTGTGGCACACAATAATTTAACATAAAAATCATAATGACTGATGATAATGTACATTAAGTCATATAAGAGTTCCCCCAGCCGGGTGTGGTGGCTCATGCCTGTAATCTCAGCACTTTGGGAGGCCGAGGTGGGCAGATCACCTGAGGTCGGGAGGTCGAGACCAACATAAAGAAACCCTGTTTCTACTAAAAATACAAAATTGGCCAGTCATGGTGATGCATGCCTATAATCCCAGCTACTAGGGAGGCTTAGGCAGAAGAATCACTTGAACTCAGGAGGCGGAGGTTGCAGTGAGCTGAGATTATGACATTGCACTCCAACCTGGGCAACAAAAGCAAAACTCCATCTCAAAAAAACAAAAACAAGAGTCCCTGTAATGGTGGTGCTTCAATCAGGGATGCACTAGCTAGCAGGGCCTTGACTGTGTAACCCAAAAGGTATCTGAGACAGGTCTTGATTAATACAGAAAGTTTATTCTGTCAATGTAAAGGATAGGCCTGTGACACAGTCCCAGGAGGTCCTGAAGACATGTGCCCAAGGTTGCTTTTATACATCTTAGGCAGACATGAGACATCAATCAGTATGTGTAAGATGAATGTTGGTTTGATCCAGTAAGGCAGGACAACTAGAGGTGGGGTCTTTCAGGTCATAAGTAGGTAAGAGCCAAAAGGTTGCATTCTTTTGAGTCTTTGATTAGCCTTCCACTGAATACAGAATGTACTTTGGCACAGTGAATCTACATTCTTACATTAACAATAGGGTAAAAAGGCCGGGCGCGGTGGCTCAAGCCTGTAATCCCAGCACTTTGGGAGGCTGAGGCGGGTGGATCACGAGGTCAAGAGATCGAGACCATCCTGGTCA